GAGGAAACGTACCTTTGCAACTTGAAGTCAGGAGCGAGGAAATGCGAGCCGGCGTCCGGTGCGATTGCTCAGTGCTGGAGGCACACACCACAGGCGTTGAAGTGGATTTCTACTTGAGTGAAATTGGCTTCGTAGATTTGAAGGCCATCGAACGAAGCGATAACTCACCTTGAACACGACGGAATATATGGGTTTGGAGACCTAGAGTGAAGGGCTAATATTAACCAGAAAAACCCGGGTCCAATACCTTTGGCGTTGAATACTTAGTCAGCGTGCTAGAGGCCATATTGAGATGGAATCTGTGCATGTTAGACGCTTTCAACGACTTGGACGCCAGCTAGAGTCTGGTCGGATCGCTAGTACCAGTTTCAGCAGGCCACGGAAGAATTGAAGCGAAATACTACACAGGTCAGTACTAGTAGGCAACTTGATGAGGACGAAACTAGGGTTGCTATCAATTATAAGGCCATCGAAAGAAGGCATACCTTGCCTAGAATGTGTTTGAACACTTTACATCAATGCATATTGAACGCTCCCAAGACCTGGGACGAAGGGTCAGTAAGCAAAAGTCAGAAAAGTCCGAAAATCGGTAGACTTCGGCTTGAACGTCGGTCAGTTGACAGTCAGGGGGGCATAGTAACGCCAGAATACGTTATATGATGACCCGTGCAGACGGTATTAGCATGAATCCGAGCAAAATATACCAAGTTTTGGCCTGGTCAACAGATACCTAAGTGAGATTGGTGGGAAATGAGGACATCGAGGGAAGCTACAGCTTCCTTTAATGCGCCATGCCATATGTCAGAAATCAAAGTCCGAAAAGCTCTCAAAATCTTTCAGACGTATCTCACAGCTTGAAGGCAGCTAGTCGACGCTCGAAGGGTTAGAGGAAGCGATTAAGTGTAATTAAATTTATCGGAGAACAGTTGGATGAGTGTTCACCGCTTTTCTCCGACAACAGCTAGACTGATACAGATGTCTATCTAAGCTTGATTTTCTTCCAATGGATAATCGGCAATCGTACATTCGTGTCATATCGTAGGGAGACATTGAGAACTACTGAGAGGCAGGCATATATATATGGAAGTGTCCATAACTGGTTGGGATTTTGTTGTCCCCATGTTCAGGAAAGAAATCACAAAATGCCTGTGGTCCACGTCGTTGAGACTGGAGCCCACTCTTCGTCTGGTAACTGGTTTCCGTGGGACGGATGGTATCGGGGCACGAAGGGAGGGTGGTAATTGTAATGCAAAGAAACGTTGAGACTGTTGTCGATGAGGACCTGCAGGGACGGCATGATATCGACCTGCATTGGGCGATCAAATTCGACATGAACACGCGACAGCTGGCCCGTGCGAGATCGAATAAATTCGAGGAGCCCATCGTCAGAAATACTAGCATGCAACAAGTGTATGCTTTGGAGGCGGGGGCACAGCATCTCAGCGGGTTCCTGGGACACATGGGTAAGCACCGACTGCGCTCCACGAATGTTATAGCCCGACTCGTCTAGACCGTCCCAGTTGACTGCATCGCCCGACTCGTCGTCTGGATCGCCCGACTCGTTTGCTGGCGGCAACATCCAGTCCTGCGTCATGCGTAACTCCTGGAGCATTGGGACGAGGCGGAGGGCCTCTAAGACACTCTCTGCCGGTAATTCCCATAGGTCGAGAGTCAAATGTTCAAGACAGTTGTCGGGGGAAAGTAGATTAAGAAATGGAAATGAGTGCCCTAGTTCCACGTTAAAGGAGGCGTATTCCAATCGGCGTAGGCTGGGAAGGACCAGAGCTCTGAAGAAGCTAGCACTCACATGCGACTGACCATATACGCACAATTGTGAGAGATGATCCAGATGACACGGTCTTGGCGAGTCAACTCCCTCCATGGACTTGAGCTGGAGGCCTAGGTTACAGGTCTCAAGTTTAGGAGACTGCTGTAACACAGCGAGAACCTCCCGAACATCAACGGGAACCTTGATTGATAGGTGTAATAAGGTTTGCCAATGGAGAGGCAAAGAATCATAGCCAGTTGCTATGAACCTTAGCGACACCCTGCGAAGCGTGGGGGCTCCCATGAAGGACAAGAAGTTGAGTGCTGACACATCGGGCGGGTCGCCTTCAGGTTCGGGCTGGTACTCGACGACCGCGCTCTGTAGCATCGGAACATCATCTGGGGATAAAACTGCAAGAGGTGCGAGATGGCGCTCCGGCGCAAGCTCAAACCTGACATTTTTCCAGCGATTGGCGACCCTGATGAATGTCTTCATCACCAATGAGACACCGAGGTAGAAGGTATTTATCGGCGACTCAAACAAAGAAAGTGATAGAGGAACAGAACCAGATCGCGAAATCCAGACGTTCACCGCATCGTTCACTTTCTGCTGGTCGCCACTCGGCGCCGTGGCCACATGGAGCGATGCCCACAGACGGGGTGTCGACAGGGCGAGACGTCTCCATGGCCTGCAAATCTGGCAGAGCAGCAGCGGCGATTTTGCACCACACAAGACTGGATATTCGGAAGGAAGCGAAGCCTCGAATATCTCCCGCACGACATCGTCTGGCAGCCGGCGAACGGGAGACACAAGCGCTAGATGAGCGTCGACGAAGTTGACCAAGTGTCCCCGTTTTCGGGTCAGGTAATCAAGCACAGCCTGGATGCGGCCAATCTCCTGCGAGAGCTCTTCGGCTTCCTTGCGTGGGCCCACCAAAAGAGCACGGATCCGCTGGCAATCTGCATCCGAAGGCACCGCGTTGGTGTGAAGGATGTTTTTGAACGGTGAGTCCATTCTCCTGAGTTGCAGTTAGCTGTTAATCCGAGTACTTATCGGTTCCATCTCAGGCTCACCTTTTCTCCTCTGCTCCAGTCCGATGATGGTGAAGTGATAGGCGGAAGCAACCGGAAATTGCCGACAGGATCACGGACCCGGCAACATTGTGTGCCCGCTGCCGGACAGAACACTTCCTCTGCCGACGTGCACCACTAGGTCGGTAAAATCACTGGTGGAAAAGCGAGTACCACAGCCGGTTCTGGTATGTGGCCTGCCATACACATGTTGTTGGGGTATGGCTGAAACCTCGTTCAGCATTCTGGATTACATTTATTTTGTTTATCTTTCTTCTCTTCAGTAGCTGGCTGTACTGTATGTTTTGGCAACCGATCGCGAAAGCAGCGTGGAATACTTCGCCGTCATACCGATGTCGTCGTTCTCCGGAAATGTCTTTTTTGCTAGGTTGTGCAAAAACTAGATCGTGTTTAATAAGAGGAAAGAAGGCAGAATCTTACGCAGGCAGGTAGAATCGAATCGAACGTTTGGGGAGCTGGCTGAATTCAACCGTAACAGACAGTTTTTCCTTTGATTTACCTTAACTTAGCTAATATGAACGTGAACGAATCGAGAGAAGAGAGGACAATGTAAATTCGAAAGAATACATCGCAAAGTAATACAAATTGTCAGTGATGATAACAAAAGAAAGGTCCGCACGTCCACGACTTCATGTGTCGCCCTGCTGCAATAATTACCTTCGAATCAGCAAAGTATCGTCCGGATGAGAGAAAGGGAACATACGTATTCAGGCCACAGTACATCACGGAATAATTGCTCAGGACAGAGGAAACGTGTCCTTTTTTCCCCTTCAGCCAGCACAAATTCGGGTGACAGTTTGCGCTTGCGCTTCTCGGGTTTGTCCCGCATCATAGGAACGGGATCCATCAGCATCATCTGCTCGGGTGTGGGGGGAGGGCAGAACGCGTAGTAGACGCACTTGGAAATAGAAATCAATTAATTGGGATAGAAAGAAAGGCAGTGGAACTTACCGTGGCTATAGCTACGCAGGCTGAGGGGATGGCGCGCAGGCGCGGCTTGGGAGCCCCCGAGTTGCTCCCCGTCGATGGCGATGAGGAGGAGGTCGAGGCCGTGCTGGATATCGATGACCGCTTCGACGAGGTGGAGGACTTGCGGGACTCCATCGCATCTAGAGAGTCGCGGTGGCGCCTGTCCGTACAGTCGCCCAGGGAAGGAAGCGCCTGCAGCATCAACTGAGTCGACATCCGCGAGATGGTCCCCTCGGGGGTATGCAGTGGCGGGGCTGCCGCAAAGAGCGGGGAGACGGACTTCGAGGCGGGTGACGGAGTTGTGACTTCGGTGTAGTCGACCTCGGTGAAGGTGGGTGGGACCACCGCGAGGCGTGCGCCGGATGTTCGCGTCATCGGCGGACACAGGTCGGAGAGCGAAGGAGTCGGCTTGGGAAGAGAACCGGACCGACGCTCCAGGGTCCTTGCGAAATTTGTCGACGTAAAATTTCGGTTTCGTCGACGTTGGCATGGTAACTGAGTGGTTGGAATGTAGGGCGAAAATTGGAATATACACCAAACTGAAGTGCTGCTTTATAGGTTTTGAGGGAGGTCTAGACCAGGGAGACAGCGGAAGCCTGGACCCAACATGAATGTCTTAGAGATGAGACCTTCCGCAAAATTCCAGCTCCGACCCGAGGCGTCCGAGACGAGAAATAGGATACTCCAGAGTCCAAGTGGTGTCCCTTCCAAAATACGTCACCCGGGGTGTAAGCCTTTTCGTGGGAAATCGTGAATAAAGGGGACTTCAAGTTTCATGAGGTGGAGGTTGCGTGAAAAAACTTGAGTGAGACAACGTCACAAATGTCACTGCTCGGCACCGCCACGACCCCCCCTATTACGGCACTGTCAGGCGAGATGGCTGGTTACAGGAAGACGAACACGACAGCAATTTGTGGAGAATATTTGGAAATGCTATGCCAGTGGCGCCGAAGGCATTGCCTCTGGGAAATCCCCACTGCGCAATCTGGCGGCGACCACAAGCGATGTTATTCCACAATGTCGCATTTAAAATTAACGCTAACATGTTGTGCTTTGCTGTTGCAGATGCACTTCAAGAAAACAGTCCCGCACAGAATAACTTACAAATGTTGAGTGTCTACAGAGAGACACAAGGCCAAAAATGTGGGGTGGTAAAAATAAGTAAAAATACATGAGCACTGCAGGACTCGAACCTGCAACCTTTTGGTACATTATTAAGCATCGAAGCCAAACACGCTAGCCATTGCGCCAAGCACCCCGTTACCAAATTATTGACTGGGCTGCCTATGTCGGAAGCCCACCATGCGCCTTTTCCTCGCGTCGTTCTTCGAATCTTGGCGTAACAAGCATGCGCCGAGCAAATGACGTCACACGTGTGAAATTGTTCTTTGCCACTCAGTCTCTAAAGCCAGTTTTGGCGCAGGCCCGTCCCGAAGTATTTTCGTCCCATTTCTTCTTTGTTTCCATCAAGGCATCTGTCAATATTCCAATCTGGTTGTGGTGGCTCCAACGCCCTTTGTATCCTGACAGATAACTACTTCACTCGTGCCTTCGCCTTGGACCCCAGCTATCCTACTTGACAAGCTATTCGTAGTCAGAACGTCTGTCAAAAGTAGAATACGAAGCGGTAGAATAGAAACTAATTGTTATGCCGTGGTTGCATCAACCAGTGTAGGGGAAAGGGAGGAACGTACATGGGAGTGGCTTCATAGATTTCAAATTTGTGTGACTTCGTACGCATATTTCGCGACCAATGAGATTGTTTGCCTGTAAGCTAGCATGTGAGCGAAGAGTTTCATGGAGGGCATGTCCATGTAATATGTATATCCTTCTTCATGCGTGATAGAAAATCCTCTCGAAGCACTAGGAGGCTTGCTACGTACACTCCAATAATGCATGCTCCGGTGATTCAATCTCGGCTTTACAGAACCGGCAAACTCTCAAATTTCGATCAATGCGCGGGCGTCAAAGTTCGACCCATCGTAATTTTTTAGGCCAGACAATGGCTTGACAGCAGTAGACGTATAAGCGCTTTCCAACACGCTAAACCATTGCGCCAAGCACCCGTTACTAAATTATTGACTGGGTCCCTTATATCGGAAGCCCACCATGCACCTTTTGCGTCATTCTCGGAACCTTGGCGTGACAGTTACTGGCCAAGCAAAGGACGTCAACGTGTGAAATTAGGTAGGCTCAGAGTAGACGCTCTTGCACGCAGCCGCAGGAGCAGGAGGTCACATCAAAGAGCAAACAACGTGGTGCTGCACCTCGACAGCGAGCAGGACATCCTTGGTCACCGTGACCAGGTGGCTTTAGGGCACCATTCAAATGAATTAACTCAACAGATAATATGCACCATTGATCAAGCATTGATGGGAGCCATCTATCGTGCACGATTCCGATGCCTTATGTTGCCGCCGTCGAGCGGGATCCCGACACCGTTTGCGACACCGCCGACATCCAACCGACGAAGTCCGAATTTCGGATGTTATCGGAGCCATAGTTTGGTTCTTGATGTGACTAGCAGGTCAGCGGTACATGACCTACTCCTGCGGGGAGCGTCTACTCTGTTCCCATTGTCGAGTCATAGTCTCTAAAGCCAGTTTTGGCATCCCGTCCCGAAGTATTTTCGTTCCATTTCTTCTTCGTTTCCGTCAAGGTATCTACCTACCTACCTACCAATCTAGCTGTGGTGGCTCCAACGCCCTTTGTATCCTGACGGATAACTACTTCAAGCGGGAGATGATCTTGCATGAACAAGCAACGAACAAGTGCACGAAAATCAGATCGGGTAGTTAGTGTTTTCCGGAGCCTTTGAATTACATAGCGCTTACAGATGCCCCTGCATCAAAGATATCAAAACGATTCATTTTTCTCACCAACAACTCAACATCTGCTCTTTTGAATATGTTCGTGCTGTGCATGTGGGATAATTCTATTGAGAAACCCGGTTTCACGCTGAATCCCTGCCGCTTAGGGAATTTTGCGGAAACCCCTGCAAAAGTTCAACGAGAAACCCTTCCACGGCGATCAAACCGTGAACGGAGTTTCAAACTCTTTAACTAGGCTGTTCTACTCTGTTCGCCCCCAAGAAAAGAGTGAGACAGGTTGGTGTAAAAATCTCCAGAGTCCGGGCCATAGCAGAGACTCACGATTACTACCACTACTGTGGGTGATTGCCATGAAATTTCCTGTACACGTTTCACTGGGCAACATAACTTGTGCATCCAAAAGAGCAGCGACCGAACCATAGGGAAAAAAAATGCATTGTCCTCAAGACATACAGTGGAATTCGGTGTAAGCTAGAATAGCAGATTCTCTCAACGACATTCAGGGTAGGACAGCACCTGGCAGCACATACGGTGGAAGCCGTTGGAAACATGTTGGCAACGAATTTGGTGTGCTAGACTCACCGTCCCGGGCATAATACCCGGTCCCCGTCATTTCAGGATGGTTCTATGACGAAATATATCATTCAAAGGAGTTGCAGCGACTTTCACCAATAATATCTGGGCTCAGAAACGGATTGAAGCAAGAAATTCGAGTATGATCTGGATCGGCACGAACCGGCACTGATGCCGCCATCACCAGGGGTTCCTAGAAACCATAAGCCTTTGGGAAACCGGGTTTCTTAATAGAATTATCCGTGCATGTGCAGGTGTCTAACCGTGAGTATCACATTGTTTACGTTTACATTCTGAATCTCATATATCAGCGCCGCCCTCTGGACTCGCTTCTTGACTTTTTCCCCATCACTGCATACACTTTGCTCCAGGTTACGACTCACAATGACCGCCCGCACGTTCTACGTTTCTGGGATGGTGTTCCTGTTCTGCGCCTTGGTTCTCAGCTTTCTTGCCTCCATATCTCTCCCGTACCTCCCTGCCCTGGACTATGTACGCGTGAATTTCGGCAAAGGTCTGTTCACAGGCGCCAACGTGATGAGCGAGTTGCGTGTCAGTGTGTCCCCATTTTCCCATCGAATTTATTGTCTAAATACCTGAATTCCTTTCATAGTTCGGCATTTGGTAGGGCCCCGTGTTTTTTTTTTCCTTCCTCGCGAAATTAAGCGCCTTATCTCAGGGGACCTTGTGTATACGACGGGAACGGTCACCGGACTTGCGTGCACACCGGTCAGCAACAGCTCTCAATGCTCTTTGTTCTTGGCATTTATATCACATTGAATCGTACCAGGACACGGCTACTCTGTCCCCATCGAAAACATCGAGCGCACCGATCAAATAGTCATTGGTGCATCGTGGACCCGCGGACTTGCCATCCACCCCGTCGGTAAGACATGTCTCTTTCTGTCATGGATTTTCTCCTGACCGTCGTCCTCCCGTCTCAGCGACTGGCATCATCGCCATCGCATTCGGGTTTGCCGTCTCCAGGCATGAACACTCGCCTCTCATCGCTTCATTAATGTCGTTCTTCGCGGCTCTCATGGTATGTCTTCCTCGACGCGTTCCTCGCGTTGCCCTCCGATTCAAACCACGTTGCAGCTGCTGATCGCCTTCGCCATCGACATCGCCTTATATGCCTTCGTCCATCACGAAATCGGGAAATTGTCGAATGTTCGCGGTAACGTCAATGCAGGCTCCGGTGCGTCTCCATTTGATGCTTTCCCCCTGATGCTTCCCTCTGTGTACTGAATACATTGCCCATACAGCATTCTGGATGACCTTCGTGTCCCTCATCCTGGTTCTTTTGGCTGGCTGCACGGTCTGCTTTGGCCGACGTAAAGAGAGCGGAGGCGGCGGGGCATACCCTATGATGACCAAGACGTCTGGAGGCTTCATGTCGCGGTTCCGCAGAAACTGAGGCAGCGGCGAGAGATTAAAAACTATTCCACCCGAGCAGTTGCTCAACGACAATGGATATACCCGGAAAATATTAACTTATGTAGATTTTTTGTTTGTAGTGGTCACACACACAATCGCCTGATCGGGTCGAGAGCACCAGCGCCACGACGAAGACTCGGGTCATATTGAAACCGGCGAATTCGGAACACCGAGCGGCTGGACCAGGCAACACGCAGAATACGAAGGGGCGCGTCGCCGTTAAGGAACACTGGCGCATCCGCTTGGCTCAGAAACGCAAATTTCCACACCCTCTTCGAATGACCATGTCCTCTCGATACCGTTTCAAGCCAGATGATATGACTGCCGCTCGGTTCTTTGGTTGTCTTGTCTCTCAGACTTCTACATTTTTCTTGAATTTTAAAAAAAAATCCTAACCTAAGTATACTTTGAATACGAACCGCTGTGCTTTGTTGCCAGCTCTGAGGCGGCTAAACAGGATGAAATTCAACCTACATTTCAACCTGGAATAGGAACAATATCACTAGCCTTTAGGTTGATTTTGAATGCTCTTAGGTTGATTAGGTCTCGAGCAATCGACCCCCTCCAAAAGCCAGATCACGTGTAGATACGTAATTTGATACCAAAAATGGATTCCATGTCTTTCGAGCGCGTCTTTCTCCTGCACTAAGAGCTATGACCGATATATTCGGTTTTTGTGGTGTATTTCGACCACGGAAGCAGGCCACATCACTCACCGAGTCAAGAGCACCCCCTACAACTATTCAATATGGCCCCCACAGGTATGCCACCGATACCACCGACTCCTCTACGCCAAAATCCTTAACAAAATTCCACCTCGTTATATTCACTGAAGGCTGGAAAATTCACTTAAAGCGCTGCTGGGAGGAGATGATGGGTGCTATAGACAATCCACGCGGAGTTCACCCCAACTTGGCGGCAGTTTTCGAAGGTGCATTCGCAAAAATTGAGAAAATAGGTGGGGATATTGGGACGGACAAGAGGAGCAGGAAAAATCCGCGTACATGGGCAGATAGCAATTCAAATACCATGTATCTAGACTAAATTAGCGAAAGACGCGTCAAAACGCGTCAAAATGCCTTTGAAATGCCACTGGACGCGCTCTCGCACGTGCAGTTGATGGCACGTGGTCTGGCTTTTGGAGGGGGTCGATTGCGGCTGTTGTTGATTAGTACCTTGTTATAGGTTGACTGAATTAGGTTGAATAGTATCCTATTTTGGCCGAATTCATCCTATCCACCGATGGCACTGGTTGAACATTTCAAAAATTTCACCTTCTTTTTCAGTGAAAAATGTCGTTTATTTTTCACACATTTTTCACTGAAAAAGCAGGTGAAAATTTCAAAACATTTTCATCACTTTCTTATTTTATTTCGAATTTTTCACCTTGAATTGAGAAAGTGCTGAAAAAGTTTTA